AAAGTTCTGAATTTAAGAAGTGGCGGCCTTGTTATCTATCTGTTAAGCCATACCCTTTGGTGAGGACAGAATAATTAGGCTTTCGCTTCTATAACCCCTCTCTCCGTAATTCCATTCAATATTGCAATTTATTTAATCTGAAGTTTGAGTCCTGAGTAATGATTGTTGGAGTACTAGATTTTAGTACTAGTATTAGATTTTAGTCAATTATAAACTGACAGGCAAAAGAAAGTTTTCACCGACTTCATTTGACCACACACCAAAGACAAAGGCATATGTGAGATATATGATTGATTTATAAACAGAAATCAATTTCCTTGAATTAGAATGAAAATGCATTGTAATACCGATATTCAATTCTCCGCAATACACAAAGGAAGAGATAAGGTGTCAAAATTAAAAATTACACAAACCAGAGTTCATTGCAAAAGTGCATAAAGAGTTTATTCCATGACAGTAGTCAGGCAAAACGTCATCAATAACGAGTGTGGCCACCCTGGGCAAACATGCACAAAAACACATGCCTCCTCATTGACGTCGTCAGGCGGCGGAGAGCGTCAACAGGAATCCTGTTCCATAAGTTCAATAGAGTCTGTCCAAGTTCCTGTCGGTTCACAGGAGGCGGTACAGGTTGTCTCAGCTGACGATCAAGATGATCCCAGAGATGTTCAATGTGGTTCATGTCTGGAGAAAAAGGTGGTCAGGGCAATACTTCGACGTTGGTATTGTTCAGATAGTCTTGAACAATTCGGGCAGTATGAGGCCTTGCGTTGTCTTGTTGTAACATTACAATTACAATTACAAAAAATAAGGCCTCAACAGCAGCCATATTGCTCAGGAATGTAACCACGTGACCCATTGCAGTTTTCGCGAATTTGAATGCTTTTCTTGTCAAAGGGTTCACTGTGACAAATACAGTGAGCGTGGAAATATTACCAATTGAACGAAGTCTTTGAAGGACTGTTCGTCTGCTGATGACATGACCTAGTGCTGTTGCTGCCGTCGACTTCGCCGTCACCCATCTCTTCCGAAGATGAATCCTCCGGATGTAGCGGTCGTCGGCCGGTGTTGTCACCCTCGGTCTTCCCGATCTTGGTCGGTCTTGGGTCTGTCCTGTCTGTTGGAGCCGGATTATCGTTGCGCTTGCGTAAGTCTTGGCATACTTTTGGTGGATTTTCCCTTACTGAATACCAGTTCTGTCCAACTTCGGTATTTATGCCAAATCGCGTTTTGCACGTTTTTATGCAAGCACGATTTGGAAAGCTGCGTTCGATAATCTACGTTGTGGTTATGATTACGGGGTTCAAACCTGAACCAGCTTTTTTTGCTTTTTATACAAAAATTTTTGAAGTGAAAACTTTCTTTTGTCTGTCAGTTTATTTTAGAAGTTGGTTTCCATTAACTGTAAATATTTTGATTTTTAATTTTTTGAATTTTGTTTTTTTTTTTGGTACATATTTTATTAGTTTAGGTATTGAACACAATTTGTATAGGCTTCTTGTTAGAAAAAAAACAACTTAAACTTTAAGAGAAAAAATGTTCCTGATATCATAAAATGCACACCTCACAAATATATACATTTGAAAAACTTGACCCCCAGAAAATAACTATGAATGTTCAAAGGTTACCTAAGGTACTTGTCTGTAATTAGAAATTAGAATGGGCAACTGGTATTGCTTTAATGACCTCACCCCATTAAAAGGCAACGCGTGGGTACTCAGAATACTTGTTCCATTGGAGGGTTGTTCGCTTAAAAGTTCATAGGTTAACCCGGAAAGAGTCACTGAATCAGCATCAGTTGATCTGAAAAGAAACATTGCCGTTAGTATCAGGAAAAGTTCATTAATGTTCCGAGTCAGCCTATAAACTATTCAGCCCCCACCCCCTTCCTCCACCATTAACGAATTTCTGATATTATTGATTATATAGATTATATGTCACAATAACAAAGTATTTATTTGACTGGTATAATAGTTATATTTCTAGATTATAATATGTTATGTTATTGCAATAACAATTATTTTGATCTTGTAATTACTTTTATGTATAGTCTTTTCATGAGCCCATGTGAGATCCATAAACGACGCTCTTCTCGTGATAGTACAAGAACTACTGATTGTAAAGAGTTAACCGGAAATAATGCAGCTTCCGCAAGAGAATTCATAACCAACCTAACACCAGACCAAAATAACATAATAATATGTTATCTACCCTTACAAGATGTCGGCATTTCTAACTAATATACCGTTTAGTATAATGCTTAGTTTTTACGGAATGGAATTCGACTTTCATCATTATTTATATTATCAATATCAACACTTTCCGAATCCGTTGGCCAGTCGTCTTCAGATGGCAAAAATTCGCCCTCAGAGTCACTATCAGCGTAGATATGGGTTATAACAGTTTCAACTTTCAATTTTCTAGCCATTCTATGGCCGTTTTACATCAAAATACAACCATTTTCAATCGAAAGTTGATCGAAATACATGACAGCGAAATTGTTTACATTAGAGTCGTGAATTTCGTATCTATCTATATAGTACCGTGGCCCATTGGGGACATTTGCATTTTTTTTTTTTTTTCGACGTTTCTCAGTGGTTTGAGAGCAGAAGAACTGCAGAAAACATTTTTTTTTATTTTTCGACGTTTCTCAGTGGTTTGAGAGCAGAAGAACTGCAGAAAACAGTAATTGAAATTGTGATAATTCGAGAAACCGACAAAAAATAGAAAGAATGGAGGGAAACAGAGAAACTTTAATTAGAAAGATGACACAAAATACATAAAAATCATAAAAATTCATAAAAACAATAATTAATCAAAATCGTAAAAATAGTTAAAACATGAAAAATTAAATTTTCCAAAATATTATGTAAAACACAAATAATTCAAAATGAAATCGCAAAAATTAATTACCACCGCGGTTGAAATTATTTTTTGTGATTTCACTTAATTTTTCGTGTTTTTCATAAAATTTGTTTACAAGCAATTCACATGTCACGTGATCGATTGGTAAGTCTCACTTTTAATTGTCAGCCATATGTTTTGTTTTGTAATTTATTAATTTTTTGGTTCAACATGGAATCTTCCAGATATTCACCTATTTCTAATGTGTCCATGGACAATAGATATGATTTAATTGATTATTACTTCAATTTAGGATTTACCTATAATGAAATAACCATAGTTTTGAGGGTAAAGCATGATATTGAAGTCAGTGTTTAAAAAGACTTCTCCAATCTTTACAACTTTTTAGGAGGAGAAATAAGGACAGTTTGGAGACAGTAATTAATGTTATTGAGAACGAACTACAAGGATGTGCCCAGAACGTTGGCTACCGAACAATGTATCGCCGCATAACACAGATACTCGGGATAAATACTGACAGGGAAACTGTAAGATGCATTTTATCTTCGTTGGACCCAGAAGGGGTACAAATGAAGAAGCAGAAAAGGCTCAGAAGAAGAGATGTGAAGGGGCCGAATTACATATGGCATTTAGACGGGTGGGATAAATTAAAACCTTTTGGGTTTAGTGTCCATGGATGTATCGATGGTTTTTTCCCGTAAGATTATTTGGCTTCAAGTGTCTTCGTCTAATAAAGATCCAGGTGGTGTTTGTTTCAATTTTGCCTCCGCTGTAAGATCATTAAATCTCCAGGAGGTAAACCAGATATCTTATATGACTGCCCAGAATTAACTGGACATGGGAATTATCTACGACCTTTGAATGTGGAAGAATTAACCTCTCATTAACCAAAAACGTTTCCGATTGTGATCCAGTGTATGAAGAACTTTTCAGTTTAATAATGACAGATGCTAATCTTCGCATGCCAACGTCCATTAAAGAGGCTGATGACATTTTCGTTTATATACTAGACACTTTTGAACATGACATGTGAGTTTGTGTGCCTGTTTAGATTAAAGAGCTAAAGTCTGTTTTTGTTTTATTTAACTCAACTACGATTTATTCTCTGTCGAATGTAGTTCAAATTCCAGAACATGCTCACCCCCCCCCCCCCCTCCCTTTCCTGTTAACACTGTAGAGGACACAATTCTTGATGGATTTTGACAAAACTTGGTGTGAATGTTCGTTATCACCCAAGGATGAACCCTATTGCAAATCAACAAAATCGTAAAATATTTAGTATGAATTGTTGCCCTTATTCTTGAAAACGCGTTCAATTTTTAGCTGGTTAACACTCTAGAGGACATAATTCTTGATGGATTTTGACAAAACTTGGTGTGAATGTTCTTTATCACCCAAGGATGAACCCTATTGAAAATCAGCAAAATCGTAAAATATTTAGTATGAATTATTGCCCTTGTTAATTTTATGTATGAATTCCTTAAAATGTAACTGTTTTCTCACATTTAATAATGAAATCTTTGCCCGAATATCCTATCCTTTAACTGTATTTTTTTAAATTGGTAGCCCGACTTGTATATTACAGTTTTCCGATTTAAACACGAGTAATGCTTGTCTCAGATCAATGGAAATGCAGTTGTTGGACTGTATATTCTCAAAAAATTCTTGGGAAAGCCCCCCCCCCCCCCCCGCATAAAATCTTTTGGCAAAATCGCACATTCGTTGCTCAGGTATAGCACAGTTTTCCGATTTAAACACTATTAATGCTCGTCTCAGATAGTTGGAAATACCATTGCCGGGCTTGAGAATTCTCAAAAATTTTCCGACTCCCCTTGATTAATCAATTAAAAATATTTCAAAACTCTCAAGGCGGGTAGTATTATGTGTTCTAGAACGAGTGAAAATACTCTGCCAATAACAACGGTAGTTCTCACGAATAGAAAACTCTCATAACTAGGTCAGAAATTCGGGCAACCTCAGATATTTCGCCCCCCCTCGGACGGAAACCTGGCTCCGCCACTGATTACACGTGCAGAAATTTAACCATATCAGCATATATAGAGATCAAAGCGATAAAAACTGCTTGCTCCTAAATTAAGGTCATTATTTGTTAGGCAGCCACCAAGTTAACAGACATGAAACGTTCTATAGAGGAGGTAATGTTGAAACATTTCTACATAACTCTTGTTTGCAATTTGCAACCGTCATAATTTATTTGATTTTATTCATATATTCATTTATTTTGTGTATGTTTGTATGGAGTAAAAAAAAGGTTTTTCTGGTTCGATCTCATTCTTCCTCCATGGTCTCAAGTGATGTTTTAGCAGTAAGTTCTGACCACTTTTTGTTAAATGGTACTTATATATGCATATAGAGCAAATTTTGTGTTAGAACTGAGTATAATGAATACCGATTTTGTCAAAGATTCATACAGACAGGAAATCTTTCTCTAAATTAATACAAATATTTTTTTTTCTTAATGAAGATTTGTGGTTTCCTAAGGAGTATTGGTGTAGACAACGCCACAATATTGAGATTTCGACAAAATAGGGTAAGCTTGCAGGAATGTACTAAAAGGGAAAATTAAATTGAGTGATGGGGGTTCAGATAACTAGCTTATCAAAGAGATTGAGATATCGATAGCAATATCGATATGAGGTTATGAGACTTCTCACCATTTAATTGTATTAATTAAATAACAGGTCCAGGGTCATAACAAACATAAATATTACAGAAACATAATCCGTGTACTCATTCAATGTAGAACATCTATGAGGGCTAGGCTATAAGATCTGATGGTTTGCAAAATATCTTTTTTTTTATAGCAGCTATAGACAAGTATATTATGGTGGCATAAGATATTATTTTCTGTGTTACTAGAAGTTTAACTCTTTATGTAAGCTTGTCGGTAATGTTTTCGGTTTCAATAAAATTTCACTCCAAGATGTAAACCGTGTTTAAAATACTTTTAGGCTCACGCCCATTAATTGTATGTCTTGTTATTTCAACAGGTGGATTCAATAGCTGTGGAGATATTTCAGAATACAGATTTGTTAGAACTTGGACTTCATGCAATGGCAGATATAGCAAAGCTGAGACATTTTTGCCAAATAAATGATGATTCTTCACCTAACGATTCCAATCAGTTTTCTGAAAGATCGACAGAGAGACGAAGGCGACTCCTAGAAATGATAAGAATGAAAGAAAACAAAAGTGGCAAAGCGGATAAAGGATCTGGACCAGGACGACCTAAGAAAACGACTAGGGCTCTGAATATTGGATTCAGAATATTTACAGAAACTGAGAGGGATGTTGAGGGGTGCCGAATCGCTAGGACGGTGAAAGCGCCTCTGGGTGATAAAAATTCATAGTAATGGAATATAACCATGATTCCACTTATGAGGAAATACGATCTGGAACTGTTGAAGCTTTTTTTAAAAATGGTATGAATCCGGTGGTTGGCAACATATCTCAATTTGCATGCGAAATTGTGAACGGCAGAAATGAATGTATTGAAGATGCCGTTTCTTGTGATTTTACATTGGATGCTTACATAACGGAAAAAAGAATACCAGGAGCTATTAGATTTTACCGTCTTTGTTCTCCTATAGACATGTGCGCCAGTAGTGATGAAAGCACTGGTAGGTATGATAAATGCCAGGTTTTGCCACTGTTTGTTTTCTGGTGTTATAAAAAGGTTTAAATGAAACAGTTATATTGCATGAGAATAATCCGACGCGATAATAATGCATTGTCATTTATTTGATCGTTTCGATATTTATATTATTTCATCGAATTCATTATCGGTCTTTCTACTACTACTGTACTATTACCAAATTCTCCGCGTATATTTTAAAACTATAAAGTAGTGCTGTATAATTGTACTGAAATTGTTTCAGGTGTTTTAATAGAGCGTTTCTTGTTTTTACCTCAGTCGAATGTCTATTGTACATTATTGTGGATCATGTGGCCAAGGGAACCTCTAGAAACTTCTTGAAAAAACATCTAGTAACTCTGAAATTTTATAAACTTACATAAACTTCCATAGAAATAAACAAACAAACAAAATTCTGATTTATATATATATATATATATATATATATATATATATATATATATATATATATTATAAATAGGCTTGATCATATTTTTAGTAAATAGATTATGTATATTGATAAGAACCGACACTTGGAATTCATTGCTTAAAATCTTGGAAATAATTGCGAATTCAATGCTCCCAGGTACATGTAATCATTTCAATTATTTGTGATTTGTACCTTTTCAGACTCTAATATCGAGGAATTACCAGTTTTTGAACATTTAACCCCAAGCAGGGAAGTCATGATACGCCGAAGTGCCCCATCCCGCCGTATGGAAGTTTTGCAAACTCCAAAAAGTACAGAACATGGAACCATGTTCATCTTCTTCTTCAAGGGATCGAAATACAGCGGAAAGGTAGTACGACTTCAGTACAGTAAATTAGAAGAATAAAATGAAAAAATGTCCTTTTCTATAATTACATCTTTTGATCTTACTCGTCATCTGTAAACCAAAATTTTGTGATTTGTTACTAACCATGCAGGCTACTATTGGGAATTTTATAAAATGCCTATATTTAAATTGGCATTTCTTTACTTTGGTTGGATTATATTTGTATCAGATGTTGCTGTCACTGTATTGCGTTCACTGAAAAGATTACAATTTTTGCAAAATTAGCATGTGCGTTTTTAATACAATAATATTCTTATTGACTTAAGAGCTGGTACAATTTGTTCTTGTTCACATTTGCTTTACCATGTTGTGCTCAATCTACTAATTCGGAGTAAAAATTTGTCGTATTATAGCAAACTATTAGGCCTTTAAGTTATGCCTGTTATTTTGGCATATTTCAACGCTTTGTTTGACTTTGCAGGGAATATGCGGATTTGATATCTTATTCTGATGACGAAGACGAAATGCAAGCAGCTATCCAAGCTAGCTTATTAGAAACGCCACCTACTTGTAATAGGTAAATGTAAATTGTTGATACCTTTGGATTTCGACAAAATTTTGTATGATAATACATATTCTTAAACAAGTCCAAAACTTTGAAATAATCAATTAAATTATATGAGTTATTCTAATTGCTTGCCGTGCCTGATTGGCTCTGATGTTCAGCACTCCAGAACAATCTTTTCAAAACATTTCGTCGAAATTTGGTTCTAGGATGCATATTCGAAAAACGATAGCTAGTAAGGTAATTGGAAATGAAAAGTGTTCTTTCCTGCTTTTATGTTTGTTCGTATTTTTTTTTATTTTTAGTATGAGTTCATCCGATGTTGTGAAGAAGATTCAAGGATACGTCAACACAGAGAAAAATCCTACACATATTAATGTGGTAAGAGGAAGGGTGTTGGATGGAGCATCCAGAGCTATAAAGAGATCATCGTTTGATCCATGTGCACCCATTTGTCTAAAGTTTATGGACGATGTTGGAATTTCCGAAGGGGCCGTAGACGAAGGTGGTCCCAAAAGAGAATTCTTTACATTAGCCATGCGTGAAATTAGTGAAAGTAATATGTTTTGTGGGGACGACGGCGATAAATTTATTGTACCAAATCAAACAGGTATCATTATTTTTATGATCCCATTTTCAGATTTCAGATTCGCTATTGGAAGACTTTCATTTATGCAACAGCACATTTAGTAATTGTCCTTGATACGATGGTTTGTGTGTTTTCTTAATACAAGTGTTGACCCTTTTTAAATTAATTACGCTTATAACACATAGAAAGGGAAGTAAAATATCAGCATCTAATTAATGGCTCAGTTTATGGAGAGATTTTTGGTGATAGTGTTAATTGGTATTAGTTTAAAAAAAACCAGTTACATACCCGGTCTTGCTAAGCCCACATTTTAAAATAAATTTAATGTTTGTGTGTGTATCTATGGTGATTGAATAATTTTATCCGTTATATAAGGAATTCATACCACAAATCACGCTCACTATCTCATTGTCACTCTGTACTTACAGTTTTTAAGCCCTAATATTATATTTTGTTGATAATATCATCTGATCATTTCCAAGGGAACTGAATATGGTCACTATCCACTCTACATGTTTAATTGATTTATCTGAATTTTCCATTAAAAAAGAAGATCCCCGTAATTTATTTTGTTGATAAAGCTTTGAGCTGATGATTCCTCTATTTTGCTACTGTTTCCTTCTATCACATTTTTTTTTAGCAATGGACAAAGATTTGTATTATGTATCGGGTACTTTAATTTCCTTGTCATTGGCGAATGGTGGTTGTGCCCCACATTTTTGTCCAATAAAATGTATGATTGGTTAGCTTATGGATATTTCCGAGTAGTAGCTTCTCTTAATATTGATGATGTACCGAAAGGGACAGATATTCGGACTAACTTAGATCGTGTAAGTAAGTTAATGATATTCATAAAACCCCAATTAATCACAATGTATTCTCGATGACTTGTTTAGATGATCATGAAAAGTTGATTAGATATTTTGACTTCTGCTCTTGGGACAAAAAGAATATTCACAATAGATTGTGGAAACATGTGTTTTTCTTTAAAGAGCATTGGTTTAGATTAATTTGAACATGCTAAGCTCTATGACAAAGCTTAAAAGCTCATGACGAGTCAAAATTCCATGAACAAAGAAAATAAATATACCATTATATTCTTGTCTATTTCCACCATGAAGAATTTAAACCCAGATATTTACAGATATATTCTTCTTTGAATGATTACATAAAGTTTCTCTAACATTTATGTTTTCTTGGGACCCAGATCTAACAGTCCTTTAAGTTTTTATGGCTACTGCGTGGATGTATTTCAAATCTTAATTTGTACTTTTTATAAATATTATGGTTAATATTTTACAGATAAATGATTCCAAAAACATTGAAGAATTAATTGATAAAGTATCAGATATATCCAATTTCAATGAATTAGCCGGATGTACCATTCCAATAAAGAAGATGGAAGATAAGGAAAAGATAATATCGTCATGTGTGAAGTTTTATAAACTCGATCGTGCTCAGTCTGCAATGACAAGGTACGTTCTTATTGCAGAATGAGTTTTTTTTAATATCCAATTTCATCCAGCTCACATATTATTAAAGAAACTTTTAAGAGCATTCCCTTTTAGAAGTTAGGAAGATGAAATAAGACGTAACCTAAATATGTCGCCTTTTTATAGTGAAACAGTGATATTTTCTGTTTTGCTATGAATCTAAGTCTTCTGCATTGAATAATCACTTGGAATAAGTTTTCTGTAACATTTATGTTTCTATGTGACATGTTACAGAACCTGTCCATTAAATACTTAGCATACTTGATAGGTCGAAGGATTTTAATCTGTTACTTGTATTATTATCATTTTTAAAATTTGGCAGGTTGATTTTTTCAGATTCATCGATGGACTAACAACACTCAATGTGTTAAATGTGATAAAAGATAACCCATATTCATGTGTTCCACTCTTTTGTAAACCCAGGGAAGCTATAACTCTGATACAATTTCAAGATTTTATTTTATTTATTTATTTATTTATTTATTTATTTATTTATTTATTTATTTACTTAATGTCTCTCCCATCTATTTATTTATTTATTTCAGATGGCGCATCGAAATTAGAGTTCAGAGACATTTTGATGTTTGCTACTGGGTCAGAATCAGTACCCCCTTGTGGTTTTGAAACAAAACCAACTTTGGAATTTCTTAGAGGAGGAAAAAGATATCCAACAGCAAACATATGCGCATGCATTTTAAGACTTTCGACAATGTATGACGAATATTCAGAATTCAAAGACAGTTTTGAGTTTGGAATTCTAAATGCCATAGGTTTTGGTGTTGCATAATACCTTATCACAAAATACTGTGCTTTAATTAGTTTTCTCTAAGTACATTTAGGATTGAATTATAGATTCATACATTTACCCAAGTCTTCATAAAGTTGATATAAATAGTGGTCAGCAAAATATCTGTCAATCAAGTACAAAAATATATTGGAGTAAAATCTTAAATTCAATATTCAATTATCTTTATTCATTTTTATTTCTTCTATTGTTTGTCTTTGAGAAATGGTTGATGAACCTTTATATTCGGTAGATTTGTTTATATCTTTCTTTCTTTTTTTAAATCATTAAGGAATGATTTCATTATTTGGATGATTTGAATACACTTCGTTATATTTCCTACATTTGATGTTAGACTTGAGGGCTGACTCAATTAAATTCTGATAACCCCTTATTTAATTTAAGCTAATCAGAAATTAACGTCTGACTAGAAACGGTATTCTTGAAGCTCGAATCAGCTCATCGTTGATTAAAAATTGTTTTTGATATCTGATTAAAATGCTCTTAAAACATTAATATTATTTTCACTTTAGTCATGGTTTAACTTAAAGGGCCAGTCCCTGTATTTTTTGTTTTGTTGCGCCTTACTATTTTCATTTTAGCACCAACTGTTCAATTATATAAGAGAAGTTGATGTTTTCATTAAAAATGTTTCGTAAGAATTATTATTTGACTATTCTTGTCAAAATTAAAAAAATATGAATTGCGCCCGTACACAAAATCACGAAATTTTCGCCCAAATAATTGCTAAAGCTTCACGATGTATAGTAGAATAATTTATTTCAGTTTTTGAAAGTTTCTTAGATGCATAAATAATTGGATGTTCTAATCCAGTGTCGTCAGCTTGAAGCAAAACACCTGCTAAACCAGTTTGACTCGCATCGGTTTGCACAATGAGCACATTGGCACTATCACCGAAATCAGGATGAGCCAGTAATGGTTCTGACATTGAGCAAGATTTCAGGCGTTTAATAGGGGTTTCACATGCCTCAGTCCACTTATATTGTTTATGAGCAACAATATTACTTTAAAGGTAAAACACGATCTGAATAGTTAGGAATAAAACACATAAAATATCCACATAATCCAATAAAGGAACGAACTTCCTCCCAAGTAGTTGGAGTAGGATAATTCTTAATAGCTTGTAAACCTTTATCACCAGGAATAATGCCATCTTCTGAAAATTTAAAACCTAGATAATTTACAGAGTCCATGAAGAAATGACATTTTTCTGGTTTTAAAGTTAAACCAGCTTTACGAAAACAATCTAATACTTGTTCTAATATAAGCAAATGGTTATATGTTGAGGTATGAATAAGACAATCATCTAGATATATCAATATATGATTAAAATTTAAACCACCTAAAACAAGATGCATAATTTTCTGAAATGAAGAGGAGCTACTTTCAAACCAAAACATAATCTTGTAAATTGATAAACCCCTGAGGATGTTTGAAGACCTGTTAAAATACGACTTTCCTCAGATAATGGAATTTGATTGAAAGCAGAACACATATCAATAACACTAAAATACTTTAAGTTGCATCATGGCTTCTGTAGATGTTGGTAATGGAAATGTTTCATCAGTTAACTGATTATTTAATGATCTAAAATCTAAACAAAATCTAAGGGAGCCATCACGCTTCTTAGCTAATACTATGGGTGACAAAACATTTGTATCACTACGTTCAATAACATTTGAGTCTAACATCGACTGAACTTGAGATTCTGTCTCCTGATTGATTTTTGGATTTGGCATTAGACGACGACCACGTACTTTAGACAAATCAGCTACTAGCTTTAATTCGTAAGAATGTTTCCTAGCACAGCCTAAACCTGTAAACACATCCGGTTTATAATTATCTAACAAACCAAGTAGTTTGGTTTTATATGAAGTATTAATTGGACAAATATTCCAAGATTTTTTCTCAATACTATAATAGAATCCATTTCTGAAGTAGAACTTATTGTTAATGCAGTTGCAAACGCAACTTGTTGAGAAGCATACACAGTTTTACTAGTGGAATTAGGGTTCATAAGCAATACAAAAGGAGTTGGGGACACATCGTCCAACAAACAATCCAGATTTGTCTTCAAATGCATTCAAACGTTCAACCAGCAATCCAGAATCAGACAGTGAAGGATGTGATACTTGAACGCGCAATATTTTTTGAGACCGGGGTGGTACAACTGTGGTTCTAACAGCTCGTACTTCTGAAACAAATTCAGAATTTTCAACTAGAAGTCTGGCTGGCTGGAGAAATAGTCACTTTTTGAAATTTCGAAATAATATCCCAACCAATAAGGAAAATATCCTCTTCTGAATCTATAATATGAATTCGTACAGGAACTGTATGTTCATCTATCTGTACAAAAGTGTTTATAATACCTAAAGTTGAAATCTGTTCACCAGAAGGACCTGTCAATACTGAACTACAGGATTCAATATCATAACCACCAGGAAAAGCCTTCTGCATATTTGGAACAGTAGTGCAAGTTACAGCTGCACCAGAGTCAACAGTTGCAGAGCTTGTTAATTTTCCTACAGTAACATCTTTGGTTGGACATGTCTGGTTAAAATTTACATGATGCACATACTAAATATTTTACTATTTTGCTGATTTTCAATAGGGTTCGTCCTTGGGTGATAAAGAACATTCACACCAAGTTTTGTCAAAATCCATCAAGAATTATGTCCTCTAGAGTGTTAACCAGCTAAAAATTGAACGCAATAATTCATACTAAATATTTTACGATTTTGCTGATTTGCAATAGGGTTCGCAATTTTAAATTACACCTTTACAACTTGTAATTACAACTTTAAAATAAAAAATATTATCAATGAATTTGGCATTCTCAAGAAAAAGGGCAATAACTCATATAAAATAATGTTCGATTATTCTAATTTTGGACAGGATTCAACCTTGGGTGATAATAAACAATTTCACCAAGTTTCATAAAAATCCATCAAGAATTGTGACTTCCAGAGTGTTTACAAACTAAAAATTGAACGGGTTCTGAAGAACAAGGGCAATAACTCATATCAAATATTTTCCGATTTGTCTTATTTTCAATTGGGTTCATTCTTGAATGGTTACAAACACCCACACCAAGTTTCGTCAAAATCCATCAATCGTGTCCACAATGAATTCAAGAACAAGGGCAATAACTCATAATAAATATTTTTCGATTGGTCTGATTTTCAATAGGGTTCATCCTGAAGTGATTACAAACACTCACACCAAGTTTCGTCAAAATCCATCCAGAAACCAGCTCTCTATCGTGTCCACAAACAATTCAAGAACAAGGGCAATAACTCATAGTAATTTTTTTTCGCTTGGTCTGATTTTCAAAAGGGTTCATCCTTGAGTGATTATAAACACTCACACCAAGTTTCGTCAAAATCCATCAAGAAACCAGCTCTCTTACGTGTCCACAAACAATTCAAGAACAAGGGCAATAACTCATAGTAAATATTTTTCGATTCGTCTGATTTTCAATAGGCTTCATCCTTGGGTGATTACAAAGACCAACACCAAGTTCCATCCATCAAGAACCCAGCTCTCTATCGTGTCAACAAACAATTGTGGACAGACAGACAGACAGACAGGGGCGACGACTATATACGCCCCACATTAATGTGTGGGCGTATAAAAAGATCCATTGAGAATAATAGGGCACAGAATGAGAACACAAAATCGTAAAAATAGTGAAAACATAAAAAATTGATTTTTTCCAAAATAATATGAAAAACACAAAAAATTCAAAGTGAAATCGCAAAAATTAATTTCAACCGCGATTGAAATGTATTACCACCGCGGTTGAAATTGATTTTTGCGATTTCACTTTGAATTTTTTGTGTTTTTCATATTATTTTGGAAAAAATTAATTTTTCATGTTTTAACTATTTTTACGATTTTGATTAATTATTGTTTTTATGAATTTTTATGATTTTTTTGTATTTTGTGTCATGTTTCTAATTAAAGTTTCTCTATTTCCCTCAATTCCTTCTATTTTTTGTCGGTTTCTCGAATTTTCTGCTTCTGCTCTCAAACCACTGAGAAACGTCGAAAAATAAAAAAATTGCAAATGTCCCCAATGGGCCACGGTAACTGTAGGTAATTTCAATGAATTTTGACGAGCCCACCTGTATAAGCTGCCACTATTTGCTCATTCTGATTCTGAAATATTGCCATTAATTTTAGAACGCCAAAACAAGTTAAACCCATTTTAAAACAAATTTTGGTCAATTTGATCAAATGTATACATAGAAGTAAATATATAGAACGTATTTTGGAAATCTTTTCATATATAATTTACATATTTTTCATAATAAATATTTTGTATACTGCCCCTTTTATGATAACAGTACAGAAAAGTACATAATAATTTTATGTGTAGATACCACGACGGATGTCTCTCTGCCAAATAAAGTTATTATTATCATCAATATCAAAGAATGACTTGTTAATTGTTGTACTTGTAGATGAACACGCTTACCTAGAGATATCAGGCCCATCTGATAGAAATCCAAGCCAACATTCGAATGAACGTCTTGATAATATAGGTTTTCGAATAAAAAGTTTACACGCTAATATAGAAGACGAGCCACAATACGGTACGATATTCAATTGTTATGCCCATTTAGATCATAATACAGTAATGATATAAAGGATGTTAATTTTACTTTTAGTGACAGAATCAGAACATAAACTAAGTGCACCTCCACATTAACGACATGACACGATTGTTCTTCTAAACCGGATTGAAAGGGTCGGCTGTACAACTTAAGATCAAGCTTTTCTCATAACAGCAGCACAGTTATCGCCCCGGGTTAAAGTATCGAAGGTTTCCAACTTATCTTTTCAATAACGGTACATTTAGAACACCCTATTTAAAACCTTTCTCTTCATGGGTGGCGCTATCTGTTTTTATACCTTTTTAATCAGAAGTAAACAATGTGCAAATGTGCAATCGAGGATGGGGGGGGGGGGGGCAATTTAGCAAAGCACCTTGACAGACGATTAAACGCAGAGAAAAGGACTTTCATGGAGTATGTTAGATTCGAGATTATTTTTGTTAACACACACGTGTTATAATACGTTACATTTTTAATGCCGTTTTAGTTTAAACGTAGTCGGGTATGTTCTATGGCAAAACGTTGAACAAATACGTCCAAGTTAATTTTCTGGGTACGCTTCCTGTTGAAGGCAAGAAGAATAAGATTGCGCTGGCGAAGCTGAGTCATAGATCGTCGTTGTGGTGAGTCAACGCGAGTAAGAGTTGAAAAGCTGCTTCCACACACAGCGGTACTAGAACCGAATGTGGCACCGCTTGCAGCCAGTGCATATAATTTAAGGAAAGCCAATTTCTGCTCGTATAGTTTTTGAAGAACAAGATTGGAGTCCTGCTTTTCTGTATCACCTACAGCATGCTTCCAATCTGTGTAGCCTTCAGTGATGAATTTTTATGCACCCGCATGTATTGTGAAACACTCGACATGGAAATCAAAAAGGGGCGTCCCTTGACACTGAATACTCCAGCCATGGAAATCGATCATACCAGCTGTTACTAAAATGGCGACCAGACTTCGCTGGAAATTTTATTCTCGGTTGCTTTGGAACGTCTTTTTTTCCAATGTCACCTGGTACTCCTGTCTTTTCAGAGCATCTTGGTACTGCATCCGTTGTGTTGCCCGCTGTGGTTTTGATACCAGTGTCAGTCGTAGTAGTGTCGGAACCATAAAGCATATGAATACAATTTAGGATAATATATGTCTATTAGTTAGTATTTATAATCAGCCAATCAAATCTTTTGAATTTTGAGACGGGACAGATTACAATCCAGTATCAGACCAATAATTTTGTTACCAATGACGCTTTACTGCAGACTTTTTATGATTTTCAACGATATGATATAGTTATGGCAAGACGGTTTGTACCATAACATAATATTGAAGTATTTTCCCAGTTTGTATTCACAAAAGAACCAAACGGACAGACAGAGGCGAGACAGTATACGTAACCACACGTCAATAAAACAATGCAGGCTATAAAACTATCTGACATTTGTAAGATCCTTCCTTTGTTTTTTTTAATATTTGCATCTATCATAACATACTTCTATAAATAGATTTGGTTATCTATGTACATATAAACAAGACATTATATAAAAAATACTATCAACAAATTACCATAATTCATATACACAAATATACAATGGATAATAGTTCGGGGTGATTATTAATGTTGCAGAAAATTGCCAGAAACGTTTCTAAACGTTTGTTAACAAAGTAAGAAGTAAAATTAGTTGAGTCAGCTGACGGGTCATGCTAAGACTGCTTGATGTCCGGCTCATCAAGAAATGCCAAGTTATAAAGAATCACAATAGCGTATATTTACTCGTAAATGAAGCTAGGCAAATGCATGGCTCTCTGACAAACCCAAACGAAATAGAAGGGGTGCGCTTGTGAAATACATATTTTTCAGATTTTCCATAATACAACAAAGCGTTTAGACGTTCCAGGAACTTTCAGAAATATTTTGAACATCTAATGCTACATTCAAAAATTCTATATGTAGTATTGAACGAAACATAAGGGTATATTATTATATTGTTGTAATGAACAATTATTACGTTAAGCACTTGTAACACGTGCTACAACCTAACGCCTGGCATTGTTAGAAGTATGCACTATAGTATAAGGTTCTATAAGAGAAACTCTCTTATAGAAGCACTGGCCCAGGTCACAAGTAGGGACTGTGGATTTCAGCATTGGAATTCATCAATTTGATAGGAAAAATACCTACCTCTGGTGGACAGATTTACAAGATAAACAAACAATTCAGAAGTACAAAGCGATTCTTTCAGGGAGTTAATGAAAGGGGATCTAATCTACCATGGACAAGAACATTACTCAGTGTTGGATTGTGTAATGGCTCTTAAGTGGATCCTATTTTTAATTCTGTGTTTCCAGTGGATACTTTTATACTTGGCGTCTGGTAAATAGAAAAAATATTTTCTGTAATTTTATACTCCCAGCATAACAATGTTGAAAGGATATTGTAGTATATGATTACATTTTTGTTACTAATTTTTTTGACTTGTAAAATCACTGTTGCACTTTGGAACCATCAATCTGAGTCTCGAGCTATGGATGCGAAATTGGAAAAATTGTTAGAATTAGCTGAAATATATTGACATATTTGAGCTTAATTATATTTCTTCCAAGATTCACATCGATAGATCAGTTGTAAGTAGGGAAAGGCGAAAGTATTTCTAAAAAAATACCATTGAGAGTCAAATTCAAACATTGTACTAATTATAATATTTCAAAAGATTTACGCGAGAATTATTATTCCTAAAAGCGAAACCACCTAGGTCAGTTAGTGAACGTAATGGTATTGTTAGTGTCCAGACAGGCCATTATTGACTGAAGAGAATGCGGTTTCCAAATAATGGATACAGAAATTGGTCTGAATAAGATTCGCCGGGTCATTTTCTTGACACATAATATACCAGCGTTTATTTCCCCTTAACGATAAGATCCACATTCATTACTTACATGGAACTTATAGTTCTTTACTGCCTCTAGACTCTACAGTTGTAGCCGTACTATTTCCACTGAGAAAAATATATTTTTGAAATAATTATATCATGTTCTGGCAGGATCAAGTTAGTTTGTAGGATGGTAGAATGTGACACTAATGTGATGACTAATGTCCAGATTCCTTTAGTCCGTAATTGCACAAGCGTAGTATGTATCCGTAAGCGTGAAAAAACGTTTATTCTTAAATTGTTTGACATTTGCTCTCTTTTGATTTCCAAATGTCGAGGGATTGTTAACGTGCACAACTCTTAACACACGGTTTATTTGTGTCATCCGAACGACATGACGTTTTCTCTCCGACCTGCTTCACTGACAGGGGGAAACCGGTTTGAAAGAAGATATTATCTCGGTCTATGTCGGGATTAAAGCCTGGACCTTCGGGTTAGCGAGTAAGCATCTAACTCACTCATTTTATTCAAAGAACGAACGAATTTTGTACAATACAGATTCCAATTACATTTCCCGGTAGTTTATTGGACATTAAATTGATGCAAGTTACTAAAAGCATTTAGCTGTGTAAGCAAGCAATTGGGGAGAGGCTGAAGTATTTCAATAGAAATGTATTGAGAGTCTAGCATTTTCTGTGGGAAATTTAGATAATTTATGTGGTAGTTTATTAGACATTATTATAAATTGTTGCAAGTTACTAGTAGCATTTAGCTGTGTAAGCAGGCCTGCAAATTGTTGGTATTGTTTCTGATGAAAGTATTGAACTGATTTTCGAATATTTTCGATATATATGTATGATCTATTACATTAAATGATATTCTAATTAATTAACATGTAAATAATACTTATACCAACTAAAGGAAATGCTGTTATATCGTCATATATGTTCCAACTTGTATATATTGCTCAGGGTCATGAACATTTATGAATTAAACGATGGTCACAATGGTAAGAAGACGCTGAATAATGGAAATGTAAAGATAAAACATTAACTTTTTTCACAAGTTTATTAAGTTAAATACTTAATATCATTATTGAGGGTTTGGTATGTCTACACATAAGGAGATTCACCACGTATTTTTCCACTGAAATTAAAAAAGTAATTATTTTGATTCAACATATTTAGGCTACACATCACAGTCGTACCCAGGCATGTCTACTAAAACCGTTCCCCTGACACTACTATGGAAATAGACCCGACCAAGATAAGTACAAAGCGAGCAGTGCAGGCACTGTTAGAAATATCTTCTTTCTCTCTTCTTCATGCTCAGATTCAAGCATAAGGTCCATGCCATAATAAATTGGTTCAGATATATAAGAATTTCGATGGTCTAAAGCCTGTGGAGCTGGATTTCAGAGACCCAAGGAACTCATATTATCCAGTTCTGGTACAAAATGATCCAGACAAACCAGTCATGCTAGCATGTTACGTATCACTATATGGAATAGGAGCTGTCATGTCACATACATTTCCTTTAAGGCAACAAAAAAGCAGTAAGGTTTAAATAAGTTTTTTAACATAAAATATTTAATTGCCCGTTTCATGTAAGATTTATTTTAATGTTAATCGGCCACAAAAGAACAGTTTGGTGACATACACAAAAAGAGTCTAACGTTCTCGTCATCAAGGTTGCATATTGATGGCTTTCAATATTAATTCTGTAAACATTAACTGTATCAAGGTCTTTACATCCATATCCATAACTGTTACTTCCTTATCAAAAACTATGCCTATTATACTTACCTTGGTTTGTATCGGCAAACAAGCACTAACAAATTCGGCATAACGCCACACTGAGCATATCCACAGCCAACAGAAGTCGTAGATTTCGAAACAACCTTAACATTTAATATATTTACTCAAAATCGGTAACAAAAAAAGAACATTTTAAGCATTATGTGTTACATATTGAACATTTCATAAACGTGTGAAGGAAATGAACATGTTATAAACTTTTACAGGAATTCGCAATTAACATACCTAATAGTCGCTAATAGTTTTCTCTAACTGAAGTTGACCTACCTGTGCATATTCACAACAGCTATAACCTCTTTCTGAACAACAAGACCACGTTCCATCATTAAACTGCTTCTCGTAATCAACCCAATGTCTAATGTGTTGGGCTCCCACGGTGTTAACATCAAGGGGTCTAAGGCTGCCTTGAACAGCTATATTCTCCCCATAATCATGTGCAGAGCTATACCTATAATCACAGTTTCTAGCATGGGTAGTTGAAGCAGCAGCCAATTCGTCATCCCATACCTACAAACACACGACAGTTAAAATGTGAAATTCCTCTACACGTCAGAGAGAGGACTGAATTTGAAATAACTATAAAGCATGTATCAAATTGCCAACCTTTTCTGAACATTTCCAATTCATCCTTTGGAAAACTTGGAAAACTTACTAATGACAAAATGGAATGAAATAGTGAATGCCCATAGATGGAACCAACGAAGATGTAAAACGCCTTGCCGTGGATATTGTGAGATTGCATCGGCATTAGCTTTTTCCATTTCGTTTTTATCTGCTGAAGATCATATAAAACACAAGATCTTGTCCGATCGACTTGGTAAGCTGACAAGGGCCTAACTAACTGGGATAATATAACCCGTCTTGTCTTTAAGAGAGAAATGTTCAGTACTAAGACTTTAAAATATTCCTTCAAAAACAGAGGGTCGTAAATTTAAAAAGAAATAACACGCTTACTTTAATTCACGATTAAACTCGACACAGTGAGGTGGCTAAAATTTGCTATCTAAACGCATACGATAATTATAGTTACAAAATTTCATGTTGAAAAATGATTTATTTATTTATTGTTTCGTTTCATCATACATAATAAGAACATTCCAATTTTTTATTGCAGCAAGCGTCAAGAAAACGTGTTTTCAATTCGCGAATATCAAGACACAAAATGACTTTATCCATGGAATATAAAGACAATAAATTAAGAAAGCTAAAGGATTTTTCTTTCATTCTTCTTAAATAGGAAATATCTCCCATGTGCAGAGTCTCTGTACCTGTACTAAGTATGAGACATTTGAAGTTTGAGTTCTAATTAAGACATTAAAAAATTCCAACGTTTAAAAATGTAACAATTTTTCACATAAACATAGATAAATTTTTCAAGGTATATAGACACGGCTTTATGTAACAACAATTACTGGTTCAAGTTTTATGCAACGTTTCGACGTTGTCCTCAGGCATATAATGCTAAGGAAAGATGGGCAAACTATAATGCTTATTATTAAGAACACACAAGAGATAAATGGTTTATTGATACATTACATTAAATTTTGATTAAATAAAATAATTGACAAAGTAAATTAATTAAAAAAGATTTATTGAAGATTAAATAAACAACTCTTGCTAGTATTTTTATTAATAGAATTTACATTGTTTTAAATAACTAACTATGGTTGATATATTTTATTAAATTATGTTGAATACATTTATGAATATGAATAATTACAGGTTTTTAAAGTTTATCAAATGCATACGATAATCGAACACCTTCATCTCTGTTCATGCTGATATCTTCTGATATTGATAGCTTCTTGAAGTCTCTTGGTTTTATCTATATGCTTTTGATTGTCAGTATGTTGGTGTTGTCAAATTTGACTTTATGTGCTGTTTTCCTTCCCATAGCAAGATGTTCGGCCAGAGATGTTCCTTCATTGCCGGACTTCATTGCCTTGATTGTCTTTGATTCAAACATCAAGGTTTAAACAGTATTTTATTTCTATTTTACATATAATTTTTACAAAGTATAAATAGGGTTTCGGAAACAAGCTAAGGCTTATTTTAATCCGTCACCAAATACAATGTCCCAAAATACAGAAATATAAATGAATAATTTAATAAATGAATTAATTAGCATACTAATATATATAATTATGCAATTATGCATAAATATATTTTGGAAAAAAATTAAAAGTTATCAACTCCAGTCCAAACATCAAATGTATTTAACCCACATCAATGTTGTTTACATTATTAGAATGCATTTGGAATTCTATCTTTAACAACATGTGACAGGATGGTTTGCTATAAAAATTATATTATAATAATATGATCTCCATTTATAATACTTACCATGGGCGGCAAATTCTCATTCTCTTCCCCGAAGTGTATTGTGGGTATTCAAACATATGTCTTTAAAGTCTTCACAGTTAACCCAATAGACACCCAAAAACAATAATGCAACTTTTGCGATCATTTTCCTCTACAACAGAAAAAAAAAGTTTGTTTCCTACGCTAATATTTGCTTATCATTGAGAGTGTCTTAGCCAAATATCGACTGCAGACCTCACAGAATTAGCAATGCGATGGTTAAGTGTTTGATTTTAAAGGGACAGATGCGCCAGTTGTGCCAGGGGATGATTGTAGTCCTGCAGGTCAAATTCGCCTCCACATTTTTTGGCATAAAACAGGTGAAGCTTTCACTTGTTTCTTCTCAAGAACGAATACCATACCTCCTTCCTCCTCGCTAAAGTCTCTCTGCTACTTGGTGTTTAATTGTAAACATATAGAAGCAACAATTTTTGTATATGCTGAAAGTGGTCTGTGAACGCAAATGAGGCCACAGGTTTTTTGTCTCAGAAATTGGTGTATAGGTTTATATGCACAAGATCTGAATTGTGAACAACCCACAAATATTTATTGAGTAACAGCCCTTACTGTTAGATTGTAACTGTCGAATTTTTGTTGTTTTGAGGAGTTGGGAGGGCCAAGAAGGGGCCAATGGGGTCTCACGGCATAAAATCACTTTAATGACCTTACACACACTTCTTCAAATTAGACTGAATATTAGATACAAATGCTTAAATATTATTATTTTTAGTGTTTAAAGGAACATCTTCCTATATATATCACATAACATAGTTTTGAAATATGAAGAAATCTTTTTTTTTTAAACAATATTTATTCAAGAATTACAAATATTACATACATATATATAAAGATATGGTATTGGAAACAAGCTTTAAAATCCATTACCATTCAAAATAATTACAATACGATACAATACAATTAGGGAAAAATTTACAAAATATTTACACTAAATGAAGTTCTCTCAACTGTATCAAGGTTGTTAAAGAGCAGATAGGGTTCAGTAAATTTAATTGTATGGATGAAATAAAATATGTTTGTTGGAGCTTTTGCTCATCGAGGTTTCAGTAATCGGCATGGCCCCACAGCAACCCTGGTCGATCGAGGCTAATATAAGGAACTGGAATATCTTACGAAGATAAACAGGTGAAAGTAAGGGCTAGATCAACAGTTTGGCATGAGTAAGTGAGGGTAGAATAAAATACTAGGTAAGACTCAATAGAACGAACCATAGGTAAGCTTCAATAGAACTAGCACAAATTAGGTAAGTATTAATAGAACGAGCAATAAATCAGGTAAGCCTCAATCGAACGAACCATAGATCTATAGAGATCAGGTTTACCTCAGTAGAACGAACCATATACCAGGTATGACTCAATAGTACGAGTAATGGATCAGACAAATCAGGACTTTTAATAGACCATCAATAGGACGAACAATGAAAGTTAGCCCCAATAGAATGAACCGTGGATCAGGTAGGATTCAAGAGATCGTGCAATAGACCAGGTAGCCTCAATGGAACGAGCAATAGATTCGGATAGCCTCAAGGGCTAACAGTAGATCTGGTAAGCACTCAATAGATTAAATGAGCCCCAATTGTGCGACCAATAGATCTCGTAAGTCTCAATAACACGAACAATAGATCAGGTAAGTATCAATAGAGCGATCAAATGGATCAGGTAAGCCTCAATACAACGAGCGACAGAGAACAAATAATGGAAAATAACTCGTTGTGCAACCGTATTTGAAATATTAATGTACCCTTGATACTCCGTCCATCCGTCAAATTTCTTGTCATTGGCCCATCGTGAAACTACAGAACAGTCGACAATTCTCGGTAGCATAATCTACTTCGGTAATGAAAAGAAGATCGCCGAGCCCCATAACATCTGAAAATTCACAATTGGTTTGTCACGTAATTGTAACATATCGACGTGAATATAGTTTATAGAAATGGGGTAGTGTATCTGAAACACGCGTTTTGACTTGTGGTATAACAATTGATCGTTATGTTTTATTTTGCCAGGTGAGAATTTTGGTTACAAAATAGATATACGTGTCACTGTCAAAACAGCTATTGTGATAAAGAAAATGGATTCTGTGATCACAATGGCTGCTTTCAAGGATGGTTTGGATCAACTTTTCAAAAAGGTTATTTATGATATAATAACAGTCCTATGCGCTGCATGCAGTTAACTGCAGAAAAGAAGGACGTAAAACTCCATGCATTTCATTTTTATAAATTTACTTTTAAGGAGTGTTGAATAACGTGTACTTCAATCTTTCAAGGTTATAACACAAATTATTACATGCTCGACTATCACGGAGCTGTAACCTGTATTGTTATTGTTGTTTTGTTAGTAAAAGCTTTCGAAACTGTAATGTTTCCTTTAATTGTTTATAATTTTAACAGCTTTTGAGTTGAGCTTAAGTAATTGCACGCCTAGTTCACACCAACGGCGAATGCCGCGCTTTAAATCGGCGAGCAAAGCGCCATCATTTTTTGTTTACTTTTCAAAAAATATCACGATCTCCTAAGTAATGTTACGCTCTGATAAGCTCTGATACGAATTGGTTACGCTTTGGGGACGAATTATTTCCCGATTTGATCAGGCCTTGTTACGCTTTAAATCACGCTTTGATAAGCTTTATTAAGCTTTGATGCGGTTATGACGCTTTAAATCACGCTCTGATACGATTATCAAGCTCTGTTGTGCATTGTTAAGCTCTGCTACGCATTGGAAAATTTCGAAATGACCGATTTCATGCCACTTTTGATCAAGTGGTGACAGACCGTGAAGACTGGGGTCCCCGCTTTGAATAAAGCTCTGTTAAGCTTTCCTACGCTTTGAGTCAAGCTTTGCTGAACTTTGTTACGCTTTGTTAAGCTTTGATACGTTCTCGGCGCTTTAATCAATTCGTGACAGAGCGCCCAAAATTTTTAAACAGTTTAAAAAGTTTTGGCGCTCTTGCCGAATATCCAGCTTTGCTCAAAGCTTTCCAACGATCTATTACGACCTTGGCGCTTTAGTCGAGCTTTGTTACGCTTTGGTACCGCTTTGTACGCCGCTTTAAAGCGGCATCAAAGCGCCGTTGGTGTGAACTGAGCATAAAAGACAGCTTTTAAAAATTTTCAAATTGTGACTTTTATCGCTGTCTATTTTTTTCGATTTTTTCAACTTCTATAATCTTATATATTCGATATGAAAAATTACAGATGTAGAGACATTTTTTTGATACCAAACAAAATTTTCAAGATTTCGAAAAAACAAATTTCCTCGGTATAAATTTTTTATACTTACAGTTACAGAGTGAACAAACACTGTTGATATGAATCGTCGATGCTTAAATGCCTTATTATAACAAATTAATGAATTAAATATAGATTTATTGTGTGGCAGCCCGATTTATCGATTTGTCACAGTTTGTTATGCAAACTTTCTCACCTTGGACAATCCTTCTTCTTCCGGTGTAATTCTGAAATGTAGTCAAAACCGTACAGATTATCTATAATAATTAATTTGAATGACCTTAGAAGAAAAATCCAAACCGGAAGTGACGCATGCGCCGAGAGTGGCGCATTTTCGTTAAAATTTTAGTTTTCCATTTAATATCCGATTTGTATGATTTTGGTGTCTATCAAAACCTTCTTTCTTTATCTGAAACATGTTGGGAACAGAATTTTGAATTTCAAATTTAAATTATATTATGCCCGTTTGAATTTTTGACATCTAAAAGTCTTGTGACCTTGAATTTTTCAGTGTAGATTAGTTTTTACCTCAGATATCTATAGATATTCTGATATTGGATGAAAAACATCAACTTTAATATTATATTGTTTTATCTCATAAAATCCTAATGATTTGCAGGGTGTTAAGCGTGTTATACAAAACTTTTGGCTTGAACTTTCACACCTTAGTGATAAATCAATGGGCCAGAGAACAAAATCTGATTACGTACTTTTTTAACCTGAAAAAAATTATTTGCATACAAATTGAAAAATACCTCCATTTGAAGTTTTGAATTCGCAAAATATGAAACCGTTGGAATTTCTTTTATATCTTAATTAGAACACAAATAAAAAAATTATTTCTAATACTTGTGAAATATATCTTCTAAAAAGATGTGTTTTTAACTTTCTCTTGAAAGAGATTTTTAACTGTTCAGGTAACGTCTTACATAATCGTGGTCCTGCTACACCGAATGATTTTATATTTTGTTGTTGGTACACAAAGATTAAGACACGTAGGGGATCATATACAATATGGATTAATATCTAGGTTTAAGAGATCCAATTTCATTAAAAACCAAATTATTTAACATAATATGCCCTCTTTCATTCCATGACCTCTCTAAGATAATTTAATGAATGTTAGTGGAAGATTTAAGTATCATAATTATATGAATACCAGTCAGCATGTCGACAGAAGTCAACTCGTCGACAAAATTTGATGAGAGAAGTCGTCGACAAAAGTCATATGATAAAATTCCTACCCCGGATGACAGATCTGATTATCTACGTGTGTTGTTTTTGTCTGTTGAATAATTGAGAGGTTTATCGTGATGCGGCATAAATTAGTTCTATTATTAATTTTCAAATTGAGAATATTGAGGTGACATTTTGGAGTGTAATTATATAATTTATTTATTTATCAGATACCCAAAAGTTTTAATATCTCTTTCAAAAATTGTAAGCTTAAAAGCACTGGAATTGAAACCTAACAGACTACAAGTTTCAAAAGGTTTGAAATCCATGTGATAAGGTCTCCTTTACCACATTCGGAGCTGTTCACAGTTCTAGTTATTGATTATATTAATGAAAATGAATATGTTAATAGGGTTTAATGAGCAGAGCATACACACATTTGCATAATTAATTTTATAGTTTAAAAACTTAGATTAGCATTTTTCTGTAATGTGGGTAATCAAACGGAACCAGAATATGCTTTATTTGATTGTACCAATTCCAGTGACAATCTCTTTTTATA